ATAAGGCTAGGAATACTGGCTTGGAACACACAGTATTTGTGAATTTTCATAGATCTGATCAAAGTGCTTCATAATAAGCTCTACTCCCCTCACATTTCCACCCACAGTGTAATGGACTTCCTCTATACACCCTTGCCAGTAATAATTTAAATTTTGCTGAACAGATGAAACTGTCTCATGGTTGTTTAATTTGCATTTCTCTTATAATAGTGAATTTGAATAATGTCCATGTACAATTTAATCTTAGAATTTCCTTCCTCTCTCTCTCTCTTTCTCTTCTCTCTCTCTCTCTCTCTCTCTCTCTCTTTCTTTCTTTCTTTCGTCCTGGGGCTTGAACTCAGGACCTGGGCACTGTCCCTGAACCTCTCTGTGCTCAAGACTAGTGTTCTACCATTTAAGTCACAGCATCACTTCTGGCTTTTTTGAGTAGTTTATTGGAGAAAAGAGTCTCACAGGGACTTTTCTGTCTGGGCTGGTTTCAAACAGCAATCTTCAGATCTCAGCCTCCTGAGTAGGTAGGATTACAGGCATGAACAACCAGCACCCACCTGCACGTTAGTTTCTTAGTTGCTAGAATTACAGGTATGTACCACCACATATGGCTGTGGTAAACTGCTTATATCTTAAATGAACTTTAAGATGTAGGTCCAATTTATTTTCTTCTAGACATACCAACAGTAAAAATTAAAATATTTACTTTTTTCTCTTGATTGAATCTTTTTTGTCATTTTAAATTCTTCTAAATTCTGGGATCTATTTCTAGATATGTATTATATTCTGTAGGATATAATATTCTACAGTGCTGAGTAGCCAAAACATCTTGTTTCTTGCCCCAACTCAAAAATGGCTAGAATTGTCTATTTATTTTCATCTGATCATTGATGACTCGGTTCCATCATCATCTAGTCCTCAGTTTTCCAGTGAGAATCAATAATCCAAGGCTCACTATGCTTTGTGAAAGGGTCTGATATTTTCTCTCTTAGAAGTTTTTAGTTACACAGTATGTCCAGATCAATCTCCAGTTTCCTTTTCCTGTTGGTGACAGTATCATTAATTATATGAAAATGAATGTTTTTTTTTAATACAGGGAGATTTCTTATGCCTGAACAGTTCTTCCTTCTATTTTATTCTACATTTATTAAACAGAAGTTGTAGTTCTTGGATCTATTTTTTTCCATATTCATGACTTTCAATTTTTTGTTAAATATTTTAGTAAATGTTTTTAGCTGTATCTTTCAAAATACTCATTAATTCCTTTTTTCTATGCCAGTTGTTGGGCTTGAAATCAGGGTCTGAGTTCTGTCCCTGAGCTGTTTCACTCAAGGCTAGCGCTCTACCACTTGAGGCTGAGATGTGAGGATCGTGGTTCAAAACCAGCTGGGGCAAGAAAGTCTATGAAATTATTATCTTTAATAACCACCAAAAAGTTGGGACGTGAGCCAGGCGCTGGTGGCTCACGCCTGTAATCCTAGCTAGTCAGGAGACTGAGATCTGAAGATTTCAGGCCCAGAGTTCAAGCCCCACGACCGACCCAAAAAAAAAAAAAAAAGTTGCCCAGAGACAGTGCCCAGACCCTGAGTTCAAGAGCCAGGACTAGCCAAAAATTAAATAAATAAATAAATACTGATGGGGCTGGGAAGGTGGCTCAGTGGTAGAGCGCTTGCCTTGCATGCCTGAGGCCCTGGGTTCGATTCCCCAGCACCACATAAGCAAAAAGAAAACAAGCCGGAAGTGGCGCTGTGGCTCAAGTGGTAGAGCGCTAGCCTTGAGCTGAAGAGCTGAGGGACAGCGCCCAGGCCCAGAGTTCAGGCCCCACGACCGGACCAAAAAAAAATTAAAAAAAATAAATAAATACTGGAAGAACCTATGAGGAATGAGATGGGTGGCTGCAGACTGTTTTGTAATATATGCTGTTTCAAAAATAGGTTTTCAATTTGCAGATAACTTATGTAAAATTTCACCTTATAGATTTTCTTTTAAGGAGGTATCCATGCAAAGGTATCATTTAGATATTCTCCATTTAATTATAAGATAAATTTTATTTTAATCCTAAAGAAAAGAATAAGGAAAAACGGAGAATAAGGAGAATAAGAATAAGGAGAACTGACTGTGTCTTATGAGTAGTAATTCTGCATAGTGAATAATTTAGAGCCTGCTTTGTTACCACCAACTCTTGTCTGTTTGTGGAAGAAAGGATAGGTATGATTACATTCTTGATTAACTCCTTTTGAAAGGAACAGTAACATTAAAATCTACAGGCTTGTAGATGGAAAGTCTATTAGTTCTTAGTCTTTTTTTTTGGGGGGGGGGGTCATGGGGCCTGAACTCTGGGCCTGGGCACTGTCCCTCAGCTCTTCAGCTCAAGGCTAGCACTCTACCACTTGAGCCACAGCACCACTTCCGGGTTTTTTTCTTTTTTGCTTATGTGGTGAGGAATCGAACCCAGGGCCTCATGCTTGCTAGGCAAGCGCTCTACCACTGAGTCACCTTCCCAGCCCTAGTTCTTAGTCTTAATCAAAAAAGGAACCAGAGCTGGGCACTGGTGGCTCATGCCTCTAATCCTAGCTACTCAGGAGGCTTAGATTTGAGGATCATGGTTCAAAGCCAGCCTGGGCAGGAAAGTCCTTGAGACTCTTGATCTCCAATAAACTACTAGAAAACCGCAAGGGGCACTGTGGCTCAAATGGTAGAGTGCTCATCTTGAGCTGAAGAGCTGAGGGACAGCACCCAGGCCAAGAGTTCAAGCCCCACGACTACCACCACCACCAACAACAAAAGGAACCAGGCACCAAGTCTCATGCTTAAAATCCCAGTTACTCTGGAGGTTGAAATCTAAGGATTGTTGACCAGATAAACCAGCACAAGCAGGAAAGTCAAGGAAATTTTTATCTCAGATTAACCACCGAAAAGCAGGAAGTGAGCTATGACTCAAGTGCTACCTTGAGCAAAAAAGCTTACGAACAGCACCAAGGTCCTGATTTCAAGCCCCAAGACAGACAGACGAACAGATACACATACATAGGCACACACACACAAAGACACACACAGACAATTCAAAAAGGAGCTGGGTGCCAGTGGCTCAAGGTTGTTATCCTATTCAGGAGGCTGAGATCACTGGGCACCAGTGGCTCATGCCTGTAATCCTAGATATGCAGGAGGCTGAGATCCGTGAGACTCTTATTTCCAATAAACTACTAGAAAACGGGAAGTAGCACTGTGGCTCAAGCGGTAGAGTGCTTGCTTGCCTTGAGCTGAAGAGCTGAGGGACAGCACCCAAGCCCAGAGTTCAAGCCCCAGGACAGGCCAAAAAAAAAAAAAGAAGAAGAAGAAGGTTGAGATCTAGAGTATTGCAGATTAAAGCCTGTCTCAGAAGAAAAATCTGTAAAACTCCCACCTCCAAAATAACCAGTGAAAAGTAAGGCTAGAGGGCTGGGATGTAGGTCAGTGGCAAAGTGCTTGCCCAGCAAGTGCAATGTCCTTGGTTTGATCCCCAGTCCAAAAAAAAAAAAAGACAAAACAAAACAAAGAAACAGTTTAAAAAAAAAAAAAACCAAAGAGAAAAGTCAGGAATAAAGAAGCACCTGAGCAAACAAGCCAGGAAAGTAAAAGTCCCTAAGTTCAAACCCCAAAAACAGGGCAAAAAAAAAAAAAAGTCGATCTTGGGGCTTGAACTCAGGGCTTAGGTGTTATCACAGGGCCTCTTTGTGTTCAAGGATAGATAGCACTCTACCACTTGAGCCACAGCTCCATTTCTGGCTTTTTCTGAGTAGTTTATTGGAGTCTCACAGACTTTTCTACCCAGGCTGGCTTCGAATCATCATTCTCAGGTCTCAGCTTCCTAAGTAGTTAGGATTACAGGTGTGTGCCACCCATACCTAGCAAAAAGAAATGTTTTTGGGGTCCGGTTGGGGGGCCTGAACCCTGGGCCTGGGCGCTGTCCCTCAGCTCTTCAGCTCAAAGCTAGCACTCTAACACTTGAGCCACAGCGCCACTTCTGGCTTTTTTCTTTTTGCTTATGTGGTGCTGAGGAATCGAACCCAGGGCCTCATGCATGCAAGGCAAGCACTCTACCACTGAGCCACCTTCCCAGCCCCCAAAAAGAAATTTTTATAAAACAAAAACTGTTGCCCTGCTGAGCGCCAGTGGCTCACGCCTATAATCCTAGCTTCTCAAGAGTCTGAGGATCACAGTTCAAAGCCAGCCCAGGCAAGAAAGTCCATGAGACTCTTATCTCCAATAAACCATTAGAAAACCAGAAGTGGTGCTTTGGCTCAAGTGGTAGAGTGCTTGCCTTTAGCTGAAGAGCTGAGAGACAGCGCCCAGGCCCAGAGTTCAAGACCCACGACCGATTAAAAAAAGAATTGTTACCCTTTTATTTTTGGCCGTCTAAAGAGAAAAATACCTATTTTGAATCAGCTGATCTGGAACTTATTAGAGTAACAATATACATCAAAATTACCAATGATTATAGATATATCATTTATCAAGGATATTGACAATATTGTACTTGAAGATTATAAGTCATCCACTTTAATTCTATTTATTTCTCTGCTTTAAATGTTCTTTCAGGGTATACTACTTTAATGATAGCAATACCACTAATCAAAAAAAGGTATTTAGACAAGAGGAAAACTATCAATTACACTGGAAACTCAGCATGTGATTTGGTAACTCAGACTAGAGATTTTTTTTCAAGACACCACAAAAAAAGCTCATCACTTGAAATTCTATCTAGTACTTAGATTTAAGGGTCATTGAGTTTACTAGCTAGGAATAAAGATGAAATCTGACAATATAATTTAAGAAATATACAGGTTGATTAAAAACCCCAAAAATTAAAGCAATACAGGTTGGCACTGAACAGTTAAATCTTTCCTATTCTTATTTGAAACTGATGCCTCCATTTGTATCACCTGTGAATATAAAGTGATTAACATACTAGTTTTCAATTCATTTTTTAAAAGATATTAGGAAAATGACAACATTAAAAATTGACTCACCACTGTCCTCTGTTTGTTGGGCAGGAAGACTCTAACAATAGGTTTTTGTGGTGACTTGGGGTTGCTCCGAGATACATCTGTGGGATTTTGAAAAACTGAAAGAGATGAAGGTAGCACTGAAAGGCTAGAAGAAGAAGAAGATGTAACAGTGTCCATTGATGCAGAGCTAGAAACAGAAAAATCAGTTCCGTTTCCCAGGGATTCCAATAACTGTTGTTCTCTTTGTTGGAGGGCATCTAGCTTGCTGGTGTATTCTTCATAGGCCTATAAAAAATAAAGCAGACTCACTTTGGATCTGGACTTATCCTGACATTAACACAAGAAAATAAGAATTTTCAGTCACTGATTACCATCTATTTATAATCTAGCTAACAGGGTTTCAAATTACAAGCTACAAAGTAAGTGTCAAAAATATAGTAATTGAAAACTTAAAACTCTTCAGTGGAAGAATTGTTATAAGATACCATTGTATTACACTGAGAAACTTGACCTACATATATTTTGAATCTAGATGGTCTATGAAACTTAAGTTAAACTTAAGTTAAAAAGCATGGAGTTTCTCATTTTCTGGCCAAATAGTAATTTATGTCCCAAACCACATATTTAGCATAAAATATTAATAAAATTACACTACAGCAAGGATAAATATCACCTCTTTTATTAAATTTACTTTTCTCAGAAAGATATATGAAGTTTCACACCCCCTCCCACACACTCTGAAAGAACGCAAAGCTGGGCGCCCATGGCTCACACCTGTAATCCTAGCTACTCAGGAGGCTGAGATCTGAGGATCACGGTTCAAAGCCAGCCTGGGCAGTAAAGTCCATGAGACTCATTTCCAATTAACCACCAGAAAACCAGAAGTGGCACTATGGCTCAAGTGGTAGAGCGCACGCCTTGAAATGAAGAGCTGAGGGACAGAGCCCCGGCCCAGAGTTCAAGCCCCATGACTAACAAGAAAAAAAAAAAAAAAAAAGAACATAGAAAGGAGTTTAAGTGTTAAAAGAGTTGGCAAAATTCAAGACTTTGTCAGTCTTGAATAGTGCCAGATCATACTGAAAGAATCAAAATTTCCTCCATAGGGCTCAGCAGATCTATAACTGCTACCTCCTTTCTGAAATAGCCATCAATTAAAATGATTTATTCTTCAAATTAAAAAAATACTTTACACCTGGGCATCAGTAATCCTAGGTACTTAGGAGGCTGAGATCTGAGGAATATGGTTCGAAGCTAGTCCAGGCAGGACAGTCCATGAGACTCTCATCTCCAATAAACTACTCAGAAAAAGCTGGAAGTGGCACTGTTGCTCAAGTGGTAGAGTGCTAGCCTTGAGTACAAAGAGGATGGACAGCACCCAGGCCCTCAGTTTAGGCCCCAGAACCAGCAAATAATAGTAATAGTCTATGCTTCTTACTATGGATCCCAAATTACCTCCTCTGTATCAAGTACAAACTGTATTTGAAAATGTGAGTAATAACCTGTAGTCAGTGAATTTTGGGACACTATCTACCTAGGACACCCTGGCAGAAGTTTCTTTTGACCAAGGCTAAGTCAGATGACCCATGTGAGATACCAAATTATTAATTGTGAAAATATGGCTCCCAAAAAACAAGGTAAAAGTTAATGTGGTATGTAAGTGATATTAAATACATGTGTTTTTAGCAAAACATGGGCAGCATTATGGGAAAAAAATCAAATATCCATAGTTTGTAAGATAAAGAGCATGAAATCATTTAGATAAAAAATATTAATGTACAGCCGCAATTTTTGCAACAGTAATGTAGCCTATTTATGGATGCACAGACCTACTGTATATATGGTAGAAGTAAATTTGAGTAATTTTAGTGTACTGAATGAACTCTATGCACCTTGAGCATTTAAAATTCTCAACAGTAGTCTCCTTGGAATCATATACCTGCGCGCAGTGAGGGGCATGCGCAGTGAGGGGCATGCATGTGTGTATCCCTAGTTCTTTACTCATGGTCCACTATTTCTCCCACCATCTCAAAAAGATGCAGTACTGCAAACATTTAAAAAGATTACAAAGGGGAATAAAAGATATCTTTTGATATCATTTCTCAAGGAGTTTATTTTTGAACTACAGGTAAGCAAATGGATGTGTTTTTATTTCTGTAGATATTTCCATATAGTTGTTTTTTTTTTTTTTTTTGGTCGGTCGTGGGGCTTGAACTCTGGGCCTGGGCGTTGTCCCTCAGCTCTTCAAGTCAAGGCGAGTGCTCTACCACTTGAGCTACAGCGCCACTTCCTATTTCTGTAGATATTTCACATAGAGTTCAAGCCCAGGACCAGCAAAATTAAAATAGAATAAAACAAGACATATGCAGATAGTTCATACCTGTAATCCTCACTACTCAGGAGGCTGAGATCTGAGGATTGCAGTTTGAAGCCATCCAGGGCAGAAAAGCCCAGGAGAGTCTTATCTCCAATAAACTACCACAAAAGAGGCTGAAAGTAGAGCTCTGGCTCAAGTGCTAGAATGCTAGCCTTGAGCAAGAGAAGCTCAGAGACAGTGCTCAGTCACTGAGTTCAAGATTATTTTGAGCCATAGAAGATGCAAGACAACAAGTGCTTATCACTGTATAAAAAAAAAAATTACTGAAATAGAAATTTAGTTAGGAATCTTCCAATCTATGCTTTAAAATCTTTAGTATTTGGAGCTAAATGGTAAACTGATCATTATAATTTAGGGTTACCTTCTTTTCTAACTAGTGATTATAGAGAAAGGTAATAAAGGTGAACTGGAGACTGGAGAACCTGATTGCCTGGATTCCACAACAGCTTACTCTTGCTGTGGAATCTGACTAACTTCCAGAAGGAAACAATCATGCTCAAGGACTGACATAAATCTCAAGGCACAATTACACAGTAAAAGTGAACAATATTAGGCTACTTTAAAATTATAAATTTTATTTATAAGAAAGCAACCAATATAGTTAAAAACTTGTTCTAGAAAATGTACTTTGTAAAATTTCTGAACTAGTATCACTAAACACTACTCAGGGTAATATTTAAAAAGGGTTTCTCTGTTAGTTTTGTTATTTTCCAAAATATAAAATATGTGTATTGTAATAACTAAAACAACAGAAGTCTAGATAGTATAATTATGGAAGAGCTGCAGTCATGGCTCGAGTGGTAAGAGAACTTGCCTAACATTTGCAAGATCCTGGGTTCAATTTCAGCACTACAAAAAGAAAAGGCTAGATAGTAGATAGAGGAATAGACACTGAAAGAGAAATTTAGTTTTATCATATATGACAAAAGTCATATATATACTACTATTTATGGCAAAAGTAATATACATATATTAATATGTATATACTAATATGTATTTTATACATGACAAAACTAATTCTTACTAATACACTGGAGAGATGCGCTATTATGGAAGACAGAGGGAAATAAAAGTTTCCTTGATTTCACTAAAAAAAAACCCAAACAAAACCCTAATTCTCTCCAATATCTTTTCCTGAATTTATCACCTAAAGAATCAAAATTTTAAGAGCAAATTCGTTATATAAAACTCACCCCCCCCAAACTTACTCCAAAGATGATAGTGAAAAATCTCACCTCCAGGTATATTGATGGTGGATTATGCTCCCCACCAAATTTGTCCAACAGGGCCTCTATATGTTCTTGTGTCAACTTAATCATTTGTTTGATATTCCACACCTAAAAAACATTTTAAAGGAATTTAAATACATTCATTCAGCATATCAATTAGAAATACTTTAATACAGACAAATACAATGTAGTAATCAATAGTACACCTCAAAGAGCTTAAAGATTATTTAGCAGAGTGGAGTTTTTCTTTCTTTCGTTACTATTTAGATATTTTTTTTAAGTAGCAACAGAATCTATTCTCTTTAGTTTCTCTAGAGGAAGGGACCCGTGCTGACATCTTGGTTTGGGCACAGTAGAATCTATTCTGGATTTCTGACTTCCAGAATTGTAAGAAATAATGTATAATGTTATATAAATGACCAAGTTTGTGATAATATATTAAAGCAGCCATAGGAAACAAATGCAAAGAAAAAACCTAGAGAGTAATAGAAATGAAGGTAAATCTAAATAAACAAACAATATAGAAAGGATGGTGGAAGACAAGCTTGGAAGCAGTCAAAGACTTTCTATTATTGTTCAAAAACAAGAATACTAGAACATTTTGTTAAGCCGGACAGATGCCAAAATGACAGAGCCACCAAGAGTAGATAAGACTCTTCTCAAATTTGTGAGACTTTTTAAATAAAAGAATAAAGATTAGGGGCTGGGAAGGTGGCTCAGTGGTAGAGCACTTGCCTTGCATGCCTGAGGCCCTGGGTTCGATTCCTCAGCATCACATAAGCAAAAAGAAAAAAGCCGGAAGTGGCGCTGTGGCTCAAGTGGTAGAGAGCTAGCCTTGAGCTGAAGAGCTGAGGGACAGCACCCAGGCCCAGAGTTCAGGCCCCACAACCGGACCCAAAAAACAAAAACAAAACAAAAAAGAATAAAGATTAGAAGCCAGGCACCAGTGGCTCATGCCTATAATCCTAGCTACTCAGGAGGCTGAGATCTGAGGATTATGGTTCAAAGCCATCCCGAGCAGGAAAGTCCATGAAACTCTTATCTCCAATAAACCACTAGAAAACCAGAAATGGCACTGTAGTTCAAGTGGTAGAGCGCTTGCCTTGTGCTGAAGAGCTGAGGTACAGTGCCCAAGTCCAGAGTTCAAGCCCCAGGACCAACAACAACAAAAAAAGAATAAAGATTATCATTCAATATAAAATACTGTTATATACATATATATGTATATGTATATAGCTAGGTACTGATTGCTCATGCCTAAAATCCTAGCTACTAAAGAGGCTGAAATCTAAATATCATGGTTTGAAGCCAACTTGAGGAGGAAAGTATTCGAGACTCTTATCTCCAATTTAACTAACAAAAGAGGTGGGGGACAGTATCTCCTTCTTTTGGTAGTCTATCAAGAAGCTGTCTATCAAGAACTAGAAAAACAATGAGGGACTGTGGATATGGTTCGAGGGAAAGAACACTTCACACTCACTCACTCACACACACACACACACACACACAGAGTCAGTGGGTGGTAGGGAATACTATGAATTAGTGAATTACAAATTATATAATTTTATTTTGTGCAATTTTTTTTTTTGCTTATGTGGTGCTGAGGAATCGAACCCAGGGCCTCAGGCATGCAAGGCAAGCGCTCTACCACTGAGCCACCTTCCCAGCCCCTAAATTATATAATTTTAAAATAAATAAAAAATTAAGCCTGGTGCTGGTAGCTCATGTCTCTAATCCAGGCTACTCCAGAGGCTGAGATCTGAGGATCAAGGTTCAAACCCAGCATAGGCAGAGATATCCATGAGACTCTTATCTTCAATCAAGTACAAGAAAACAGGAAGTGGCATTGTGGCTCAAAGTGATAGAGCACTAGCCATGAGTAAAAGAGCTTAGGGACAGGGCCTGGGTTGAGTTCAAGCCCCATGACCAACCAAAAATTAAAATTAAAAATTTAATGACTGCATTATTCTGAGTAAAAATGATTTCAAACACAACTTCTTATGCAGGGAAACTGCGAACCAAGTGTAAGGGCAGTAAAACCTTTTTAGATATGTATGATCCTCCGTAGGATTCATAGATACAAAGACATTCCTAACTTTTGACCTAGCAACTCCACTTCTAAGAATTTTTATAATCTCCCACAAAACTGGGGAAAAAGAGTAGATCTCTGAACCTAGAATTTATAAATACTTTACTAAGTGGGGAAAAAAAAAACCTACAAATCCATAAAACAAACATAAAACTTAGGAATATACTGGTCCAGAAAACATAGCCCACAAAAAGCAGTGTTACAAAGTAGAAAGATAAAGGTAAGGAACTATGACTACAGTACGGATAGTAAGCAAATGGAACAGAGTGAAAGGGTGTGTGTGAGGGAACCAAGAAAAATTCAGAAAAACTAGGCAAGAAGCAGGTAATGAAGGCCCTGAAATCCATGGTAAATACTCTGAATTTTAAGTACAATTAGAAACTAAAGTTTTAAAAGTAGGTTTGTGTTCCATATACATAAGTGTGTGTATATATACACATATATGTATATATGTATACATACATTTACATTCACACAGACGGTACTAAGGGTTTGAACTGCTTAATAGGCAAGGTATCCTACTGCTGAACCATGCATCTGCTGGTTATTTGAAAGATAGGATCTTGTTTTACTGCCCTGACACAAGCCTAGTTGATAATCTGCATGCTTTAGGCTCTCCATAGTTAACAGGATGACACACAAATACCACCACAATCAGCTTCCCTCTGTTGAGATTGGGTCTTGAAGTCTTTTCTGTTGGCTTTGTACTGCATTCTTTCATTCTTCATCTACAACATAGCTAGGCTTAGAGGCATAAACCAGGGATATCAAGCTTATAGTTTATTTTTATTATTGAAAATTATCATCCTTGTTTTACAAATGATAAAACTGTCACAGAGATACACCTTACTCAAGACCACACAGCCAGTAAATGCTGGTATCAAAATTATGACAGATGGGAAGGGGAAACAAAGGAGGAGGCTACAATGCTTGATAAGAAATGTACTCATTATCTTGCCCAAGTTATTGTAACCCCTCTGTACAGTATTTTCACAATTAAAAAAAAAAAGATTATGACAGGCCCAGTAGGCCTGCTACTGAGGACCACAGTTCAAAGCCACCCTGTTCTGGAAAGTCTGTGAGACTCAACTCCAATTAGCCACCAGAAAACCAGAAGTGGCACTGTGGCTCAAGTGGTAGAGCACTTGCCTTGAGCTGAGGAGTTCAGTAACAGTGCCTAGGCCTAGAGTTCAAGCCCCATGACCAACAACAATCACAAAAAAAGATTATGACAGTCTCTCAGTCCACTTTATATCAGCCACACCCTCTTGCCTTCATCCCTCAAAAAGGCTTTTTCTCTGCTAGGGACAACCTCCTTGGTGGCTCTTGAAAAAAGTCAACTGATACAGTGAGGCAAGCCTACAATTGGACTCCATGAATGAGAAGATTCAGAGTAATAAAGGAGAGACATATGGAAAAGCAAAACTAAGGAATAGCATGAAAACCACAACAGACAAACAGGACAGATGACAAATATGGCAAAACAGAAAAGTGGTAGAGCAAATCCAGAGGGAAAGTAGAAATATCCTCCACAAAGTAAGCCAATTACCTCTGTGACAGATCAGCAGACTGAATTATGGGACAAATCCACGCTTCCTACAAACATTAAACTCCAGTGCAGGAAGTTACCATGTCAGTGGCTCCCAGTGTAACAGGCCAGCATCAGAAAAGGCAGTCTTAATATCCCATTATCTCAGAGAACAACAGCTAGGTATCATCTTATGGGAGGGCCTCCAGCTTGAAACTGGGGTATCAGATTACATAAAGCTGCCTGCAGCTAACCAGGCCCTAGACTGATACACAACTGGAGCCTTGAAAATAAAGAAATAATTAGTGATCACTGTGATCTGCACACCTGGCCAGTGTCCATGTGGTGGACAACTGTCGTAAGTGGAAATTGAGAGTCAACTGGTTTGCAGTGAAAACAACTTCGTAGCCCTAGTGGTCACCATACCAGAAAACAAGACATAGCCTTCTACTGGTAGAGAGCTCAAATTACAGAGTGATCAGTTTTACAATGATTATTGGCTGGCACCTTGTGGCCAGACAGGCTTTGGGATTGAGCCACAACCTGGGAGGGCCTAGAAATTAAGGAACATTTGGTAATCGGGGAAGGCTGGGACACCCAGGCAGGGTTCAGGTGGCAGACTGCCATCAGAACATAGAGAGGAAGACTCTTAACTTAGGCACTGGCAGTTGGCAGCCCCACACAGCAATGTCATTCCCTGAGGGCTATTTCAACATAACAAAAGATCTAGCCTCAGCAGATAGACAGCCCAGACTACTGAGTGATCAGTTTACATTGACTGATTGCAAACAGCATGTGGCCAGACAGTCTTTGGGATTGAACCATAACCAGGAGGTTTAGGTCAGAAGAGAGTCAGGGTTTAGGGACTTTTGGGTTTCCCTATAAGTCTGAAGGACACATCAGAAAACTGGACACACTGCTGGGGGAGAGCTCAGATTTCAGGAGCTGTCAGATAGATCAATCTATATTAGCTTCTTATAAGCAGACTGCAGCTAGCAGGCCTAGAGACGGCCATACCCCAGGGGATGAAAGCACAGTAAAGGAGACAGCAGGAGAAGTAGTCTTAGAGTGAATGGGGTCTAGATGCAGACAAGTTGAAGATGCAAGACAGTACCAGAAACTCAGACAGGGAAGGGTTTGGGAGATCAGTGATCCTACTCTCGCAGCCCAGAGTAATTTCTAGTGCCTAAGATTTACAACTACAATAGGACCAAGCCCATGGATGGCAAGAGTGCTCAGCATCTACCAGCTATTTGGTGGCAGTGGCTTTTGCCAAGTGAGCTGAGAGCTTTAAGCACAGACTCAGGATTTACATCATTACCCGCCCCAAGGCTGCAGCCTTATCACTAGGTGACAAGCTGCTGGGTGGAATCTCAAAGAGGAGGTAGAGCACCTGAGTCCCTAAGATCTCCACTAATGGTACAGAACTCATAATCTAGGGGAACACCATGTGGTTAGTCCATCTGTGGTCTCTGGAGAACAAATCAGAGAACATGTGCGTAAAATGGGACCCTGACTGGCCCACAAACTAAAAAGTACTGTTCAACAAGCAATGGCTTCCATTACACAAAGAAGCGAAGCTTCAGAGGTGAAAGAGCACAGAATAGACTGCTGACCTTTAATCAGCCCCACCTTCAACTCACCTACCCCAACTAGTTCTCTTTGTTCTGAGTGGTACTGGGGGAGAGACCTGCTGCACTGAGTACATAGGACAAAGCTTGGCTAGTCTCTAATACAGCAGAGATAAACTACATTGCCAATTCTCCCACTACACAGTTGTTTGTGCACTGTGAACACTTTCAACTTCAAGACTAAAAGTGGTTAAAATATCCAACCAGCAAGTTGAGTAAATCTCAACACAGGAACATAAATATGGAAAACAACCCACCATAACACACAGTAGATACCAAAGAAGCCCAGCATTAAGGATAGCAAAAAAGTCCAAACAAAATCACAAGTATGATTGGAAGAATGATCAAAGAAATAAAATATAGAAGATAATAAATTCAGAGGATAAAAATAAAGAATCTCAAAGAGAATACAAATAAACAGCTGGATCAAGAAAGACAATGTAGGATATAAAAGAATAATTCAAAAGATACGGAAAACCTGTCGGGCGCTGGTGGCTCACGCCTGTAATCCTAGCTACTCAGGAGGCTGAGATCTGAGGATCACGGTTCAAAGCCAGCCTGGGCAGGAAAGACCATGAGACTCCTATCTCCAATAAACCACCAGAAAACCGGAAGTGGCGCTGTAGCTCAAGTGGTAGAGCGCTCCCTTGAGCTGAAGAGCTGAGGGACAGCGCCCAGGCCCAGAGTTCAAGCCCCACGACCGACAAAAAAAAAAAGATACGGAAAACCTGAAAAAGGAAAAAAGAAACAAATTCAAATTCAAGAATGACCACTGGGACACTGGTGGCTCAGGCCTGTAATCCTAGTTACTCAGGAGCCTGAGACTTAAGGATCACAGATCAAAACTAGCCAGGGCAGGAAAAGTACATGAGACTCTGATCTCCAATTAACCACCAGAAAACCGGAAGTGGCACTGTGGCTCAAGTGGTAGAGCGCTTGCCTTGAGCTGAAGTGCTGAGAGACAGTGCCCAGGCCCAGAGTTCAAGCCCCACGACTGACAAAAAACAAAAAGAAGAAAAACAAAAAAAGAAAGCTCCGTTAAGTCAAATAACTGTGGAAAAGTCTTTTCAGTGGAGTGAATTAAATGGAAGACAGAATATCAGGTTCAAATTTTAAAAATAGACATATAACAACAGTAGCATGAAGAATTAAGGATGCTGGTGGCTCACACTTGTAATCCTAGCTACTCAGAAGGTTGAGATCTAAGGATTATGGTTGGAAGCCAGACAGGGCAGGAAAGTCCCTATGAGATTCTTATCTCTAATTAATCACTCAAAAACCAGAAGTGGTGCTGTTGGCTCAAAGTGGTAGAGTGCTAGCCTTGAGCAAAAGAGCTTAGGGACAGGGCCCAGGTGTTGAGTTCAAGCCTTATAACTGGGGTGGGGGGGGTGGGGGAGGATGAGGGAAAAGAATTAGGAATAAAGAAAAGTAGATCATGAAAACACACTGGGTCACGATTAAGAAACAAAAGTTAAGAATCATGAACATTGAAGTTGTACAAACTAAAGCATTAGAAAACAGAGCTAGTGCTAGTAGCTCATGTCTATAATCCTAGCTGAGATCTGATGATCTTATGGTTCCAAGCCAGCTAGGCAGTAAAGTCCATGAGATTACATCTCCAATAAACTACTCAGAAAAAGCTGGAAGTGGTGCTGTGTCTCAATTGGGAGAGCATTAGCTTGGAGCACAAAGAGGTTCAGGGACAATGCCAGTCCCTGAGTTCAAGCCCCAAGTCTGGCAAAAAGAAAACAGGAGAAAATTTCCCAAATCTTGAGAAAGCAGCAGTCATTAAGACATGCAACAGACCAAACCAGACAAGAATTTTCCCAAGATATATCACAATTAAAGCATTAACTATACGGAACAAAGAAAAAAAAGTGAAAATTGAAGAAAGCACCAACTCACATACAATGGAAATAGCCCCTCAGAATAACAGCAGATTTCTCACCAGAAACCTTACAAGCAGGAAGGGCATAAAATGGTGTGTTTGAAGCCTGGGTATGCTAACCTGCATACTCAGCAAAGCTATCATTCAGAACCAAGAAATAAAAACCTTCTAAAATAAAAACAAAATTTATGACAACTAAACCACCCTTATAAAGGGCTGAAAGGAACCCTACATACATAAGAGGAAGATAAATGTAACCATGAAAAAAATGGGAGAAATTAAATCCTATCAGATGAGCAGATAAACAAATGAATAGGAAAGGACAAAATACTTTAAAAACAACTAAATGGCAGGCTATACTACGTATCTTTAAATCCTAATACTGAACATTAAATTCTCCAAACCACAGATATGTAATTCAAAGTTGGATTAAAAAGCATGATTAAACTGGAGGGTCACAGCTTACAGCCAATATGGGCAGAGAAAGCATGTGAGATTCCACTTTCAAAATAAACAACAAAACACTAGGCTGGAGGTATGGGTAAAATAGTGCCAGCTGGACAAGCAAGAGAAA